TCCTGCTTAGCCCTGCTTCAATAGAGTGTTTCACTGAAGTGGAAGTTTTTATGGCAATTTTCCCAGTGAAACTCAGGCAGAATATAAAGATAGGTGATATGTTGCCTATTATCTTGACAAAGCAGAATGAATATGTTTCTTCAGGATAACAATCAGCTGTTAAGAGCTTTGCTTCATATAATGTATAAACACGTCCTTTGATTTATTAATTCAAAATTTATTTATTGTTAAAAATAGCTCAGTTCTCTTTGTAGAGGGGAAGGACACTCTTCTCTTTCTACCTTCCTGTTTGTAGTGGATTTTCACATAAAAAAGAGACTTTCCAGGGATACCTGTTGCAGAAATGTTCACCAGGCATATTGCCCCATCAATCATTCTCTGAAGCAGATGATACTGTTCCTTAAATCCTGCCATGGTCCCACGGTTTTGTGGGGAGAAAAGTTCCACCCCATGATAGGGGTGTTTTCCTCCTCTCCAAAACTGGAGGACAAGAGGACAGAGGGAGCCAACGCACCCATTGGACCTACCCCAGACTGTGCTGGGCATCCCCTGACAGATGTGCCCACACAGACAAACCAGCATCCCAGCTCACATCCTCACTTCTCATGGTCTGTGCCAGTGCACCCCTTTGCTGGGCAAGGGGGGTTGTCAGGGACCATTGTCCATCTCAGAAGGAGAGGCAAGAAGTGCTGGGTGCTGGGATGTGACCACCTCACTGACCTCTCAATGGTGAAGGAGGCATAGGGGTGCCAATAAGGGGGGGTCCTCCTCAGGAGGTTTCCTGCTGACAAAACAGGAAATTCTCAGTGTGCCCCCCAGCTTATCTGACTCTGCAGCAGCCTCTGATGCTACAACTTTGGGAGGCTATTTAAGTACAGCTCCAGCTACATCTCCTTGGTGTACTCTCCAGCTCATATTGCAACACCACCCAAAGTAACCACAAAAAGAAAAAAAGAGGGACCCAATTACAAACAGTTAATTTAAGGCTTTTCTATCTGAAGTTAAAATGGTCATTACAAGCTATGAATCCATTTCCAATTCACCACTCTCTTTAAATCTTTGGCTCTTTCATTTTTTCTCAGTTTAATTATTTATAATTATTATATATTATATAATATATTATAATTAATAATAAGTGTTTAATTATTAACAAAAGAGTAATTTTTAGATAGGAAGTCCTGTCTGCTGACTGCCTTCATGTATGTGGCCTGGAAACACTGATCTCCAGAGTGCTTCTCCATAACCTCTGCACATCCAACTGACCATCCTCTCAAAGCAAGAGCAGATGCAGCATCTTCTGGATGCACTGGGCTAGCTGAAGCTGAGCTCCTCTGCTGCACCTTCAGAGCTAGCTTGCGGAGTCCAGCAAGTTAATTTTCTGAAAGGCAGCAGCTGGCCCTGCTGAGCTGTTTCTGGAGTGCAGCTCACCCATGACTCATCTCTCCTGCAGCCCATCTCGCTGCACTTCTTTTTTGACAAGTCATTTCTGCCACTCTGGCCATTGCCCTGCTCTCAGGTTTGCTAAGCCCACGTAACTGAGGCTTTCAGAACTGAGTGGATAATCAGTGTCAGGGTCTGAACAAGAAGTACTCTAGAGAACTGCTGTAATGCAGCTGGAAAAATGCTGAGTTGGTATCTGAACACAAGGGATCTCAAAACCTTGGACAGGGCTGCTTTATCGCTTTAAAAGAAAGAGGTCGTGGGAGGGTAGGGCGGAGGAAAACTCCTGGCTATTAATAGAGAACATGAGTAGGAGCTTTATTTTGAATGGTTTCTTTAATTAGTGACATGCAATGCAGAAGCAAGGCTCGTGATGCACCCTACCTGCTGACTTCCCAAGCACAGATCAGAGAGAGGCAGACAGATAAAAGACCATTGCTGTGCAGGGGAGTTTTGAATAGGCTGAGCTAAAATGCCCAGATTAAAAAATAACAAGATTAATCAACCTTGCACTTCAGAGGGGCTGTCTCTTAAGGTAGGCTAGTGGAGTCAGTGCCAGCTCAGACTCAGAAAACTTAAGTTACCTTCCCAGTCTTACCTCTCTGCTGTGAGTTTTCCTCTTTACTTTTATTTCTCTCAGACTATGTGGAGGAGAAGTTCCAGAGATAACAACTGTCTCTTCTTACTCAGTGTTACAGTGTCTGCTACAAAAGTGTCTATCTCAGCAGCCCTGCTCTTGTACAGTGCTACAAGAAATAATATTGCTTTGTATGGTGGTTCTCCAGTAGCCCAATTAATTTGTGTTTGTGTTTTTAGTATTTCAAATGAATCAACAACAATCAGAAGCAACTATTTAGGCAATTTAAAGCTAGGAGAAGGCTTGCTTCCTTAGTTCTGTAAGTCATGGCATGATACCTGGACCCATGAACCCAACTGGATTTCTGTAGTACATTATGATAGTGGGACTATTTTGTAAAACATAACTCAGGCGCTTGTGGCCACTATTTGCACCTTGCTTTCAGTAATTACATGTGGGGTGGCAAATCCTCCTTCTAATGAAATGTTATGATGCTTATAAGCAGTAACCAACCCTGCAGGAAAGTTTTAGTATGCAGATACCAAAAGCAGGAGCAAGAGTAAACAGCTACCAGGCTGAGACAGTTCCTTCTTTCACAGTAAAGCAGTTCCATGGGAATGCTGACTCACCTGCTCCCTCTATAATAGAGGTGGAGAAAAAGAAATTATGTATAATTTCACTGGATTTCTTTTCCTCCCGCACTGCCATTTCACTTGTGGAGTGGATCTGACTGAAGAGTCAAGAGTTCTCTGTATGGGAAAGCCTTATAAAATTATACCTTGGGCTAGATATGTAAAAGTCTGATAAGCAGATGTTGATAGTTCCCAATCAGCTTCAAAGAAATGTTAGTGTTTCAAGGCTTGGCAAGCCAAATCTTAATGCACATAAACCTGTTGTAAATAGTTTGTGGAATAGTTGCAGAGAACATTCACACAAAAGCTGTTAGCAGATCTGCTGCTAGTGTTTGTGCAGGCTTCCCCCACTCTTTTCCAACTGAACTGTGTATTTAAGGTTTTCATCACGTTCTCTCCCCCTTGTTCCCAGCCTGGGGAATCTTGTTCTTCTTGAAAGAAGAACATTTCAGCTCATCTGCAAGTACTTGCTCATCTGCTGGTGCTGGTCCATGACCAGTTGTCCAAAACAGTGCGACTTTTAGCACCTGGTACTCTCAGCAGCAGCATTTCACTTTACCAGTTGAGAAGTCACAGCCTGTCCAGTCAATGACTTCTCTCTTGGCCAGAGTCAAATACCAGTGTATTAAATGGTTGCATGTGCAAAAGGGAGCAGACATGGAAGATAGCTCTGAGAAGAGCTTCACTACATGGCCTGTCATCACATCCGATTAACCATGTCAAGAACTTCAGCTATACTGTTGCTTTCCTGTCCCTCAACTTGACAGCACAGCTAAACTATAATACCAACCAGAACTGATCAAGATACGCTTTGGTTTTTTCTCCTTAAGTCACAGGATCTGGATTCACAGAATCAATACAATGGCTTGGGTAGGAAGGGACCTTAAAGATCATCTAGTTCCAACACCCTTGCCATGGGCAAGGACACCTTTCATTAGACCAGATTGCTCAGAGCCCTATCCAATGTATCTTTGAACACTTCCAGGGATGGAGCATCCACAACTGCTTAGTGCTACCTGTTCCAGTGCCTCACCACCCTCACCATGAAGAATTTCTCCATACCATTTAATCTAAACCTGCCCTCTTTCAGTTTGAAGCCATTCCCTCTTGTCCTATCACTACATGTCCTTGTAAAAAGTCTCCATCTGTCCTGTACCTTCCCTTCAGGTAATGGAAGGTCTCAGTTAGGTCACCCCAAAGCCTTCTGTTCTCCAGGTTGAACAACCCAAGTTCTCTCAGCCTTTCCTCATAGGAGAAATGCTCCATCCCTCTAAACGTCCTGGTGGCTCTCCTATAGATTTGCTCCAACAGCTCCATGTCCTTCCTGTGCTGAGGACCCCAGAGCTGGACTCAATACTCCATGTGGGGTCTCTATTCCACAACAGAGGGGTGGAGTGACCTCCCCAGACCTGTTGGCCACACTGCTTTTGATGCAGTAGTTGTAGTAGCCCTGATGAGCTGAAGACATGAGGAAGGTAAAAAAAGACAGGTTGCTCAAAATGTCCCTTTGTCCCACTTTGTTCATGGTTCTGGGGAAAACATGACCTCCTCTCCCTAAAAACCCAGTGCTCTGCAGATCCTTATCTCCCACTTTGTGCCAAAACTCCAATGCTGTTGCTTGCTCACTAAGGCTGGTTATTTTGCTAACTTAAAGAAAATGCCCAAAGGACAAAACCCACAGGGCTTGGAAGGCTCATTGAGTGTCCATTATCACAGGACTGCTGTCCACCTGCCTTTGTTATTCCATGATTGTGGAAAACTGGGAGTACTGGATGCACAGCCCCCAGCCCACCCAACCTGACATGGCTGTCTGGATTTTATCAGGCCAAAGCCAGTTGATCCCTGCTGGAAGTTAAACTTCTGTAAGACAGCAGGGTTTGATGCACTGCCAGATACCACAGCAGTCCGTGGGAGCAGGCACTCAGGTAAGTCCTCTCCTCACTGCCCAACACTGTGCCAATGAGGCTGGCAGGGCTGCCTGTGCCTTAAAATACCTTCCCTCCTGCCCCCCACAGCCCTCACTCAGGATCTCACTTTATCTCATTAGATATGAGTTTCAGTTTTCCCATTTCCCAACCAAAATCCCCATGAGACCTCAGTGAGTTGAGTTGAGGAGTTTGGCTGTGGCTGTGCCGAAGCTATATATGCCTCTGAGACACGGAGCAAAATCAGCCTGAAAATGGGCAACATCTGCAGTGCTGTTGACTTATGCCTGCAATCAGTGTATGGAGTGTTTTGCAATATTTTTCAACATGGCAAAACAAATGATCCTCTGTTTTAGAAAGGAGGCAAATGGTGAACTCCACTACAGATACCTTATCTCTCGCAGTTATGGAGTGATCAGGACACAGTTGAAAAAAGAAGCCTGAGGGAGGGAAGAACACCCTCTGTATTTTTACACTTTTTCAGCTCTTATCTTTGGGATGCAGAGGTTCATGGCATTTTGCTCCAATCTTTTGCAGTGCCCTTGCCCAGAAATATCTTGTTGCTTAGTGCCACATCTACACATACATCCATGCTGGAATCTCGTTTTCCAGCTTAAATTCAATACCCCCGCATTTTTTTTTTTCTTTGCTATCATGATTCAACTGCAGGTATAATTTTAAGGGACATGGCTTAGAGCTCAAATCCAGAGTAAGGCCAAAGAGTGAACTGACTCTCAGCGAATCTCCCCAAAGCTTCATACTTTTAAGCTAAATACAAGATAGTGGCAAGTTTAGTGGGGTAATTATCAGTCCTGTGAAATGTAGATCCTTTTAAAATCACCTCCATCATAAAATGAAGGAATTGTAGAAGGTCACAATGTCTTTCCACTGCTTTCATTCTGCTCAGCTGCACACAGGTTTCAACACCGTGTTAGTCTCTGGGCCGCTGTAGATGCCTGTGATGATCAACTCAAGAACAAATCACCCTCAGTAGCTGTCACTCACCTTCTTCCTGGTGAAGAAACATGCACAGGAGTAATTTGCCACAGCCACAGGCACCCAAAAAACCCTGATGAGAGCTCACCCCTTCATATGTGTGGCATGAAAGGAACATAAACAGGAAGCATAAAGCCACAGGAAACTTGACAACTGACGTTTCTCTGTTCATAGGGTTTGGGTTTTTTCTAGTTCTATTGCTATGTCTTATGCCAGTAAAGAGTGTTTGCTTTCTCACTCTGTTTAGACCTTGGGTAGGAAACATATTCAAGGTATTATCCCTTTAGGTTATGGATTGCTTTTTGTTCTGCCTCCTGTAGTGTTGCAACCTGGTAATACCAAGCTCTAAAGATTCACACCAGGGGATGCTGAAACCCAGCCATAGGGGAACAGCTTCAGCCAGAACTTGGAAAGACTGTATCAGTGGGAATTTTGTATTGATTTAAATGGGTTTGTAGAGCTTGGCACCCGTGAATGTTGCTGCTGTTGTTTGTGCATGCACTCAGGGTTGGTAATAAGGCAGCCTTCAGCTGCAGTAGTGTTTCAGTCACTAGGACAAAGCTGTTAACTACTATTTTGTTTTGAAGTAATGGGGGAAAAGGTATATGCTTTGTCGCATCTCTCAGACTACTCTTTTTAATCCTTCACAACACTTCTTTTTCTGCTTCTCTCAGCAAAATTCTCCAATCTATGAATTTCATAAATGAGTTGTTTTACTCCCAAATACTCCAACATTCAGCAGTGAATGAGGAACACTCCATACTTTTCTCCTCTTTTTGTCCTGACTCACCTCTCCTCAGGGATTTCTTCATTCAGAGACACGAACTCCATTCCACCACGTGTGCTGCTGATCCATTATCCTGTCAAACTGAAAACCAAGTTGTACTCAGAGGCAGGAGAGAGGGAAATCTGAAGCTTACAGGTCAGTCTGTCCTGAATAATCTCTCTATTGGTCTGCACTGTGAGCTGGCAGGGAAACAGCACGGGGAGACTGCAGCAGCTTTCCAAATGTGGAAGCAGCCTGTGGACACCAGCAGAGCTCACCTTCCCTCCACACTCTCCTGCAGAGGATCTGTGACCTGGAGTTTGCAGGGCATCCTCACAGCTACAACTCTTGCTCAAGAGCTCCACACCTTGGCCACCAGTGTTTTCCTAGGCCTCCCGCAGGTGGTTTTCCCACAAACAGCTTCCTGGAGTTGGCTGTTCTGGTGGTTTCCCCTGCCCACCACTTGTCCTTGCTCTATTCTTCTTGCATCTCTCTCCTGCTTCATTGTTCTCTTCCAAGCACGGGTTTTTGACATAGCTTGCTTGTCTGTTTTCAAGGCTTTTCCTGGACCCCATGCCCACCAAAGCCATCCTTGCCCCACTGCCCAGCAAGTGCTCTTCCACTTTCTTCCCAGCTGCCACCCTCATCTGGATGATGCTCTAGAGCAAAACCCTGCAAAGCTCCTGGCATCTCTCCGATTACTCCTTAAAATTCTTTTTTACTAGCTTTAGAAAAAGCCACAGCAGGGTCTCTTTCTACAGCACCTGACATCATTTCCTTGCCTCATTTTCTGCCCCACTGTCCTACCTGCTGTTCCCTTTGCATGTTAAGTCACAGAATCACAGAATCATTTAGGGTGGAACAGACTTTTAAGATCATCAAGTCTAATTCTTGACTGATTATCATCTTGTCAACTAGATCATAGCACTAAACACTATGTTCAATCTTTTCTTGAACATCTCCAGGGATGATGACTCCAAAGCTGAGGATTTTAAGCTGGATGGCTCCAAAATCTGAGGCCGCAAAATTCAGGCTTTTCTGGGGAGCTTTCCTTGAGCTTTCCTCAACTCTCTGAAACAGCACAGGTCTAGCTGCAGCTGCTGCTCAAACTTGTGGCTGATAGAATCAGCTGCTCCTGGGTACATTTTGTGCCCATCTCACAGTGCTGGGCACAACTCTCAGCTAGAGCAGGTGTCTCAAGCTGCTGGGTCACTCACAGCTTGCACTTCTCCTTCCCTACCTCCTTTCCCCCTCGGTTTCTGCCACCTGCTCTTAAATGCTGCTGCCTGAACACAGTTAGCACTGATGGTTTACCTGGAGGTTTTTACTTCTGATATTGAGGGCATTCCCTTGTTTTTGGGTTTTGCTGGTTTAGCCTTTTTCATTGCAGGTAATTGTTGTGTTTTAGCTCTGAGGTAAGCCTGGCCCATGCCTGGACTGGGATCCCTCACAGTGACTGTCCTCCCTCCTTCCTAAATCTCTCTGTTCCCTGGCCTGTTCCCCCTTGTCCTTCACCCCCAGTTTTGTAAGCCAGCTGCTTCCTCTTTCCCCCTCTCCCTGGGACCATTTTTTGAGTATTTTTTTAGCACTTCCCTTTTTCAGACTTGCTGTGCAGAACAGATGTCGGAGGTACAGAATCTTCAGTAGACACTGGAGTAACCCTCTGATTCCAACTGCCTGTGGCAGCATATTTCAATCTCATCAACAACTGCACAAACTATTTATAATTAGCTCTCTGATTTACATTCCTGAGGTCAACATCCAAGTTAAAAGACTCAGTGCAGCTGATACACTGCTGCAAAGCCTCCTGTCTCCCAGGGGTTTCCAGAGCTGCTGGTCAGTAGTTCAAGGCTGCAGTCAGAGGTGCCACCACCTGCTCAGGTCTCCCACCTCACTGCTGCCCTTCCTGCTCCCCCTGCCCCCCACAGTGGTACCTTTGGGAAAAGCTGATCAAAATGTGCCTGGATTGACATGGCCCAGCAGGTAAAGCCTTCATTCCATATTCCCCAGCAGGCTCTCCCCAGCCCCCCAGCCTGTGTCTAGCCTTGAGGAGATACAGCCCTTGCAGCACCCAGCTGGTGACACAGATTTCATTGCTTGCCCTGCTGCTGTCCCTCCCTGCTGCTCAGGCTGTTCTGTCACCACCACAGAGCCAGGTCACTTTGAGTAACTAAGGCACCTGTTGAACTGATTTCAGTATGACTCAAACCCCCACTCTTCTTTTGTGACTTACTTAGAAAAATGAGTGCCACCCTTTGGGCTTCCCTACAGAAACCTGGAGTCCTGTGGGCCACCGAGCCCTGTGCACCACTGGCCCTTAGAGGTGGTCTACAAGGAAGCTCCACTAGAGCAGGGTGCTGGCCAAGGAGGCTTATACATCACATCAGGCATCAAATATGGGAACCAGTGAAAGGGGTGGAAGAATCTGGTGTTCATTTTGCCTTTGGATGTGGGTTGGTCACCCCGATGGAGAAGAGGCTCTAGGATGACCTTACTGAAGCCATGTAATACCTGAGGGGTTCTAAAAAAGTGGAAGAGGGACTTTTTACAAGGGCCTGTAATGATAGGACAAGGGAAAATGGCTTCAAACTAAAAGAGGGTAAATTTAGATTAGATAATCATAAGAAATTCCCTAGTGCCCAGAGAAATTGTGGATTTTCCATCCCTTGAAGTGTTCAAGGCCAGGTTGGATGGGGCTTTGAGCAATGTAATCTGGTGGAAGCTGTCTGGGCCTGTGACAGGGGGTGCTGAAACTAGATGGTCTCTAAGGTCCCTTCCAACCCAAAATATTCTGTGAGTCTGTGCTTTCACCCAGCAGCACTTCAGCAAGCAGAAGCTACCAAACTTAAGGCCAAGCTCCTGTTGTGCTGCTGGAGATTCAGTAAAGCTGGATCCTTCTTCTGATGCTTCTCCCATCTTCCACAGATCTGCTCAGGAGACAATTTTATCATAACAGTGCATGCATTCTTATATAGATCCCATCCTGGGAAAGAAAAGGTTAACCAAGAATTATGAATTCTTGGTTTTAAATGTCAAGCCTGAAGAGCAGAGAGAACAAAGCCCACTTTGGGGTTTTTATTTGCTTTCTGAGGTCTTAATAACTGGCTAGCTGTAGGAAGAAAGCAACACCTGTGGGATCACCAGTCTTACCAGCAGTGTGGTCAATGGGACCACATGTCAGGTGGGGAAGCCACAGTCTCCCAAGTGCATGTCCAGGCTCAAGACCTCCTGTAGCCATAGCATCTACATCACCTAAAGGTCATCCCTCATCCAGAAAGCTGATAGCCTCAGCTGAGGCTAAGTAGGAGTGTGCTGAGCATGGGGAGCCAGCTGAGGGATGAGGAGGCAAAGAAGAGTGAAGAGGCTCAGCAGGAGAAGCCCTCTGTGCAGAGACTACTCCTGCCTTCAGCCAGCCTTTTTGCATTGCATCATGCAGGAGAGGTATGGGTTGTGCATTTGAGGAAGTGGCTTTTAGCTGAATGGAATAAAAGGGAACACAAAATGTTCTGTGTTCAGTACCAGAAATAGACAGAAAGAGGAAATGCTTGTGTCTGTTAAGAAGGATCTTGAAAATTTAAATCACCCTGTTAGTGTTTACTATTAATCATGTTTTTATGCTGCTGATAGTAAATTGCAGAGTGATGGCTCTTTCCACTACTCTTTGTACAGGTTCTGTGGTAAAATAAATAGAATCAACATTTTTTAATGGTCATGGAGTACTGTGGTTGGTATATCTTTGTATCAGATACTCTCAAACCACTCAGACAATATTACTACCACTTCACGCATATTCTGGAGAACCTGTTACTGGTCATCTTTCAGAGGTAGCGAGATGGATTTGCATGCTACCTTTCTGCATACAATTTGAAACCAGGAGGACCTATTAGGTCATCTAGGCTGGTCTTCTACACACCCCATCCTATGGAATTTCGTTAGGTAAGTCCCTGTAAAGCTCACCATGTTCAGCTAGACAGAAATATTCTGGTCTTGTGCTCAGCAGGCAAAGGCAGAGCGCCATTGCTAGTCCTTTGACACTGAGGGCAGCACTGGTGAGCTATTTAACCTGAGGTCAGACCTTGCCTGCCAACACTAAGCAAAATCACTTTTGGAAAATGACTACAGTGCATCTCGTTTTCTTTGGAGACACTTTAATTATGCAACTATCTTCCTGACAGAACATCTTGGTCTCTAGGAAGAAAAGAACATTGTTTCATTTCTTAGAACACAGGTCCAAAATTTTTGGTTTGTGATTATGCAGGAAAATCTGAACTTCAGAGTTTGATTTGAAGACATAAAATTAAAAATAGGAACTTAAAATTAGGGCTTCCTTCTCTCTGTTTCCACTAATTGACTGTCATGATGCAGGCAAAGCAAGCTATTGCACCAGTCTTTTGTTTGAAGACCATCACCACAGATAACACAGAAACCTATTTTGGGGGTGCTGTGGACTTTTTTAAATTAAATGTAACAGGACTATCAGTGGTATGACAGGGATCTGCAGGGGGACATGCTCCATAGTTGGAAGTATTCTCTATGTAGGTCTAGGGCAGTAAAGACAGCCCTTTTTGCCTCAAAATCAGCTGATTCTTGTTTACTGTGATATGCAGTAAAACACTGTGGCTTTCTTGGGAAGCAGCAATATGATGTTCTCACATACTTCAAGATGCAAGTCCCAGGATGTAGTAAACACATGAGCTGACAGCAATCAACCACTGACAGCTATGAAAGCGTTGCTTCATTCAGCAGGCCTTTGGATTTCATTTTGCATGACTCATTGATGAGAGTTTTGGAGAGCATTGTGCTATCTGCAGTGACACCCCGTGGTGAGGAAGCAGCAGTTTACCTCTGATCCTGGTCCCTCAGAAAGACAGAGTTCTGCTGTGACTGTTCTTCTGTCTGCAGTTGAAAGCAGGAGAAAATACACAGCTGAAAGATTGTTTTTCCTGGTCATGGGTACCATTCCTTACAGAATATGAAGTGAAAAGTATTAATTTAGCAGCTATTATTCATAGTTTATATTTCTAATTACTAGATGTAATTTCATATACATACCGCCTGGCTTTAGCAAAAAATAATTGATATGATAGTTAAAAATATGAATTGTATGTGATTGTATAGTAATCCAGTGAGTGTAGAGTAATGCAGTTTAAAATTTCAGGAGAAAGCATATGAACTTCCAAGAGAATGCATCATGCAGAAAAGGTGACCCAGTACTTGCTAACAACCGGATCATCATAGAAACAAAGAATGATTTGTGTTGGAAGGGAGCTTTAAAGGCCATCTAGTCCACTCCTCCTGCAGCAAGCAGGGATACCTTCCACTAGACCAGGTTGCTCAGATGCTGTCCAACCTGGCCTTCCTTATTTCCAAGGATGGAGCATTTACCACCTCTCTGGGCAACCTGTTCCTGTGTTTCACCACCCTCATTGTAAAGAACTTCCACAAATGTAGTTTGAATTTACCCTCTGTTAGTTTAAAACCATAATCCCTTGTCCTACTGCAACAGGCCCTGCTAAAAACACCGTCCCCAGCCCCCTTTAGATATTTACATGCTGCTCTAAGATCTTCCTGGAACCATCTCTTCCCCAGACTGAGCAACCCCAAATTTGAATTTTGGGTAAGGTCCATGGGTTTTCTTATGGAGCAGAGTACTAAAAGTATGGATTTTGTTCTCAAGGAAGGACTGTTCCCATGGGGCTTACAAGCATTAGTGTCTGATTTGCCTTTTTTTCTTTTACCAAACTCATATTTGAAATGGGTACTCTCAGAGGCTGTTACAGGAAGAAGAGAGACTGACTGCATTCAAAATAAGGATTTGCTTAGCCAGAAGGGAGTATCTGACCTGCTGTAAA